AGCTGGATTTGAAATAACAGCAGAAAAGTGAAAGGTTTACAGATGACCCTCTACCTGCGCCTGCCCTGATTTTAGCCCTTAGGCTGATGCTTCAGTACTAAATAATTCCAGCAGAAGTGTCTTGTATTGTTTTCATTTTAAAGAAAAGAATGGGTGCTTTCTTGGAGATTTGCAGGAGTGGATTCCCCACTTGCTGCCATTGCAGGCACACATGTGCCTCGTGCTGCAGCTCGACTGATGGGCACTGCTGATGCATGAGGAACAAAACTTGAATCATTTCAATTCCTTGAGTTTTCTAACACAAAGGATGGCTTTATCCCTTCTGAAGAGACCTGGAAACAGATAAAGATTGTTAACATTGAATTAGAAGATATATTGAAAATAATCAGGATGCAATAAAAGACAAAACATCCAAAGCCATACTGATAGCTCTTTTTTCTTTCCTTTTTTCTTTTTTTTCCCCTTTTCTTTTAGTAGCATAGGGGAGTGAGGGGATAAAAGAAACATTATCCAAGCCTCTTTTTGCCATCTACCCCTCTTGAATAAAGAATGACTGGAAGAACTGCTCTGCTGCAAATGGTGTCAGGTTCTCTGCATCAGTGTGAATTCAGTTCCCGAGGCTTATTTGTAGGACTCAGCATTTTTGTAACAGCCACACACAGAGAGGAAAGCAAGCAAAAAGCCCCTGCATTTAGCCCTTTAGACCTTTTATTTCCAAGCTAGAGACATAAATAAGCTAGATATAAGTGCCTATATGTCACTATTGGATGCTGAGGACCTTTAGGACTGATAATTTCTGCAGGTTCCATTTCTGTTTTAATAATGGGAAGCCTTCTTGTGAGGAAGATGGCATAGAGATTATAAAACTGATTGTCTTGTGAAGGGGAGTTCAGATTCTGCAATTGATGCATATAAGAAAGACATGGTTGCAGTGTCACATGCTGCTTTTTTGTAGCACATGGAGTAGATGAGAACTGAGCCTGTAACCCTTCTAAGTCAAACACAGCACTTGTTTGGAACTGGGAAGAGCCGCTGAAGTTTAAAATAAATAAAAAAGCATAGTGGAGGTCTTGATTTCCTATGTAGGGAGCAGATAGCAGGTCTAACAGGAATCTGTGTAATCTGGCAGTGCATATTAAAGAGAAAGTCACTGAGAAGTGGTTGTTTCCTGTCTTCAGCCTGTTCCCTACCCATGCCCATGGATCTCTTCCCTCTCAGTTGTTACAGTTTCAGAGTCCAGGAGATCACTTGCCACGCCCTGGAGCCCTGAAGTTATTTCCTGTATCGATCAGACCATTAAGGTATGAGGACTGCTGCTGTCCTTCCTTGTGTATACCACAGTGGATCAATGGAAAAGCTATTAGAAGATACTGTGTTGCCTGTTTTTTTTTTTTTTTTTTTTTTTTTTTTTTTTTTTTTTTCCCCTTTCTATCAAGAAATTCTGCTCAGGAAGAAATTGCACAGAGCCAGCGAGCCAGCCTTCAAGCTGCAGTTTAGAATTTGTTTGGCAGGTGCTCCCCAACCTCAGCTAGGCCAATGCCCCAGAATGAGAGTTCAGGCCTCCCTGCACTGCCCAGGCCCTGAACTGGCAGCACATCCTGGAGTGTCTGCTGGCATCTGCCCTCTTGTTCCTCAGGAACGGGCTGAGCACTCCCACTGTGCTGCTCTTTTCCCTCTTCAGCTTTTTCAGATATTGAGGACAGCTGTGTGAATCACATCCTGTACTTTGTACCTTCCATCCATCACCCTGTTTTTGGTGACCTCCCTGTTTCATCTGCTGCTTTTGGGCAGTGGTTTGGTGATGCTGAGCTCCAGAAAAACTCCAGTTTTGTACTGAGCAGCTCCTGGTGAAAACTGTGTTGTCTGAGCACACACTCATGGAGTTGTGCAAAGGCTGCTGTGCTTTGTGTCATCTGGTCTCATGAGAAAGTGGGAGATGGAGCATTTCTCTTGGGGTTTGTGTGCTTTTGAAATTGGGCTGGTTCATGATCCTGCCCATAGCCTATCATGACATGCTGTGACTCAGCTGAACCCCAGGGGAGCTTTAGGACAGTGACTGGGGTTCCTATTCCCAAAGCTGCTCTTCCCTCAAACAAGTAGCACTGGAAAACTGATCTGAAGATCTGGATTTGTTCACAACTGCCTCTGCACTTCTGCACAGTGTCAGGGAACCTGATTGAAGTCTTACCAAAGCTACAGCAGCAATAAAAGTACAGTCATTCTTTGAGCTCAGGAAGATGGCAAAATATCAATTTAGGTTCTTTGCAAGTTTGTGATATTTAATCACAAGTCTAAAATTTTAGACTGTGTTTCCAAATCATCACCTAAATTTTGCAGAAATTGGTGCTTTCAGCCCTACACGGCTTTCATTTTACAAGTGTCTGTGTCTCTAAAATGTCTTAAAAGGTACAGTTCTGCCTTCCAGTTTTAGACATAAAGAGAAGATTTCATTTATTTTAGAAGTTCAGAAGGAGAAATCCAAAGGTTAACAGTTGGTCGGTATATCAGATGTTACTTGCTATGTGTATGTGCTCTTTATTTTTGAATTTCCCTTTCTCTGCTCCTCCAGGTGTCATCTTGACATGAGTACATTCAATCTTGGCACGAAGAAGTGTACAAAACTTACTTGAAGTGTGGAGAAAAGAAACTGCAGCATCCTTGTGCTTGTAAAGGCTCTTCAGAGAGGGAGAATTACATTCTTTGAAGCCATTTTCATAAGCACTTAGTACAAACCTGAAAAATAGCATCTCTGTGCACTGTGCAAGGACAATAGACACAGATGGTAGTGCAGTTACATTAGTATAGAGAATGGGAATGTCTGATCAGTAGCACAGGATAGAGGAGAAGCTTTTGGAAGCGTTCTGCCCAGAAGTGGCATTAATCCAGTAATATCCAAACAATGAACACTGGAAGGTCTGGTTAATCTTGAGGGTGTTTAGGCTTTATTGTGGCACATGTAATTTAATGAACTTTTGAAGAGACCTCTAGGCAACAGCCCAAACTCAGACGGGCAGAGGGGAAAATTCTGATGGACAGTCCTACTGAGCTAGAACACAGTGGCTCTGAAGGAAAGGCTGCTGAATGGGCTGATGGCTGAAAAAAGCAAAGCAAGTCACTTGGACTCACTAGCAGGCTCTTTGTCCAAATTGGAGCCATCTCTTTCTTTAGGAAGTTATTTCTGTTGGAAATGAGGCCAGAGCCAGGCTGGAGCAGGAAGGAAGAGGCGGACAGTGATCTCAGAAGGGCGTGCTCTGGGTGCAAAATGACAGCTGTGCAGAAGGAGGTTGGCTGCCAGGGCAATGACCTTGGCCAGAGAGCTCCTCCGGCCCCTGCTCTGCTGGACATCTGGTGCTATGTGGGAGCTTTGGAGCCCAGCTGAGGGCCTGGGCTGGGCACGGCGTAGCTGCACACTCAGCTGCAGGGCCAGCTGCCCTCCTGAGCCCACTTGTCCCCTCCTGCAGCCTTCCAGTGCTTCACATAAAACCAAAAATGTGCACTCAGCAGAGGAGTACTTGTCACCCTTTTCCTGTTCCCAGCCTGGAAGACAAGCATTTACCCTCTTTCCAGTCATTCCCAAGCAATTCCCCATCATTGTATGAAGGGCTACAGACGTTTCCTGCCATGTTACTTTGTCTGCTCTGCTGAAAGGGATGCTGAAGCAGCAAAGAAGTGTAAGATTGTTCCCCCAGTGATGTAAATTGTCTTTATTGAAGTCAATAAAGAAAAAAGAACTTGCATCTTCCTTCCTGTAACCTTTCAAAAATGTGTTTGCCTGTATTGAAGGTGCCTGTGACACCATTTGTGGCTTAACTTGGCCATTAGATGGAAACAGTTTTCTGGTCTGATTCATAGGTCCATAATGACAGGTTACATGTTAATTCTTCTTTTCAGCAATTATCATGCAGTTGTGTTTTCACTGGAAACTAATAGCAAATGTGAGTGGAAAGAGCTTCAGGCTAAGGCCTATTACTGCATCAATGATACTTTTTATTTGCCTGTCTGAATGTTCCCCCATAGTTGTTGTGGGCCTTTTCTAACACAAATATATCAGAGGTGGTTGTTCTTTGCTTGTTTTTTATTCTGTTTCACTACATTTAACAATGCTTTATATAGCATCAGTTTTGTTGCTGCTCCATCATCACCATGATTATTACCATATCAAGCTCAGGTCACAGCTGCATTGTGCAGGAGCTGTACAAATGTGCAGTAAAGGGAGTCTCTGTCACAAAGTGTTAGTGGTGTCTGGAGAGCCGAGGCAGAGAGGAACAGGCACGATTCAGCAATGTGCTCCTACTGCACAAAGCTCAGTTGTGGTCTCGGGAACAGAGCAGTGCTTCAGACAGGAAGGGACACACTTCTTGTGCAGAGGTTGCTGGGTCAGGAAGGATGAGCTCTTGCTGCCCTTCTAGAGATCAGTGCCTTTAAAATAAACTGGCCTTGCAGGCGATAGAAAAAAAGTTCAAGCATCTAGATAGCCAAAGGTCCCTTTCTTACTTGGTGGGGCCACAAGTGTGTGTAGTATTTAAGAACCACATTCAGAGTCACTGTAAAAGTCCTCATTGTTTCAAATCTCACATAACCTACAGGATTTGCAATGCACCCACCTGGAAGTCTCTTCTCACAGCAGCTCGGGGCAGGTGGGAGAGTTATGGTCCTTAGCAGGGAGATTATCTGTTTAAAAGTTTTGCAAACACGTAAGAAAAATTTACTGTTTCCCACCCAGAAGTGGGTAAGATAGACCTGTCTCCATCTCAGATTCAAAATCCCTCCTCACTGTCATTCAAGGCCCTTCCTGTTCCAAGGGACCAATTGTTTCTGTGTTCCTCAGTCTAACAAGCTGGACAGCCCAGAGAAAGTGAAAATGTCATGATGGATTCTCATCCATTGGCTGGAGAAGGTTTTCTCATCTGGAGCTCATCTTTGAGCCCCAGAGCATGTTGGTGCCAGTTGGTAGCAGGACAATGGTGCCTCGCTGACTTTGCTCTGCTCTTTCTCCACAGCTCCTGTATGACAACCCCAAAGCCCGGCAGGAGGTCGAGTATCACTGGCGAGCCTCGGGCTGTCCTCACATTGTCCATGTCCTGGATGTGTATGAGAATATCCATAATGGAAAGAGATGCCTGCTCATTGTCATGGAATGGTACGGACCAGCAACAGCCCCTCACCAGGCACTGCCTTTGGAGGGATGGAGGGAGTAGGAGAATGTGTTGGCTTAGGTGGCAATTGGGAGATTTTTCAGCAGCACAATTTTGGTTTGCATGGGAGATCTCTTGTTCCCTTTATGGAACTGATAAAAAAGTGTGCAGCTGCTCCAGCCATCCCGTGTGCTGGAAGAATGGGGGACCTTTACCAGAAAATAAATTTTCATTGTGCTCCATAGCAATTGTCCTCATTAAAGCATTAACTGATTAATACACCTTTGAAAAATGTCTCTGCCAATACATTCTCCTTTGGTTGTGATCAGCTTCCAGCTTCAGATGTAAATCCAATGATCCATTGTGATCTGTCTTGTTGTAACTATTTTGACTCTAACTTTCCCTATTCTCTCCCTAGTCTCCAATACCACAGTTATAGTCCTTTTCACTGAGGACAAATCAATAATTCTTTTAAATGTCTTTGCTTCTTTCTTTTTCTTTCTCTCCACCCTTTACATGAAACAAGATTACTGTCGGCCTCCCAATGCCAGCATATCTGACTTCCCATCTTTGTGTGCCATGTTCCTTGTGGCAGGGTACCTTAAACTGAAAGAATCAAAACTCCCTGGTCTTATTTTGTTTTCTATTTATGCCTTATCAGAATGGCTTTCTTCATTGATGTGAGTGTGATGTTTAGGAAGCACTGACATAGGATGTAGACTGTAATGTTTATCTGTTCCTGCTGTGGTTCTATGAGATTATATGGATGCAGTCAGGTGTTAGTTTCATCCTTCCTGCTAATATAAGGTGGTTTTTTTTGTGTTCTTTGTTTCAGCATGGAAGGAGGAGAGCTGTTTAGCAGGATCCAGGAGAGAGGAGACCAAGCTTTCACTGAGAGAGGTAAAACATTGCAAGTTTAATTTTAAAGTTTGTGAAAGATTTTTTCCTTTCTTCTCCATTTCTTTGTCCCCTGTTTCCTTTTAGGAATTTTTATTTGATTTTATCTGTGGTGGTATTTGTTGTTGTTATTACTGTTATTTATCCCATTGTGTGCTAAGAGTGATTTTGAAAAGCTCCTGAGAACCAGGAATTAGGGGAATTGGTCAAGTTCAGGCAAAATGTGGAAGGTTTAGAGCAAAATCTTTCTACAAATCTGCTCAGCTTTTTCATTTCTGTACCATGAGAGCGTCTGTTCCTCTGATCCCTGGTCTTGTGCCAGAGCACCTCTGCTGTGATCAGTGCAGCTCCTGCTGGGATCTCTCTCTGACTGTCCCTCAAGCACATCACTGCACACTGTTGGGTCATGAGTATAATGAGCAAATCACATCTGATGAAACATCTCCTATTCAAGGGTTTTAAAGCACCACTTGAAAGGAAATGTTATTACCCACACTGTAAACAACCTGCCTGTCTGTAGGAGGGAATGAACAAGGGTAAAGCCCTTGCACAGAGCTTGCACTGGACTAGTCTTGCCATTTTTATTGTCTTTGCTATTTATTATTGACAGAGAACCACAGGTCTGCTTGACCGTGGTTCTCCTTGCCCTCTCACAGCAGACAAGAGCTTGTTTGTGCTTAGAGTGAAACCATTCATGTTTGTAAGGTGATAGTGTTTGTAACTATTGCCTTGACAAAATGATTAGAAGCAGAAAATTACACACCCAAGCTTGTAAATTACTGTGACTTATTTTGTAGGTCTGGTGTAGAGGCCAGTCTGTTTTCTTCTCATGTGTTTCCTAGCCTGGGATGAATCCTTTCTAGTCCTATAAGAGACTTGTGCAGGGAAAATTAGCATTTTTAGAAACTATATTTGTTCTTCTCTAAAATACAAATTCTAAGAAGACAGATTCCATGAATTTTAGCAACTGCACTCTACTAAAAACATTATTTTTCTACATTATATAGCATTGTATAACATAAATACTTAGAAATCACTTGGTTAAACCAAAAACTACCATAATTCTTTCCTGAGGTAAATGAGCTCTGTGCCACTGGATTCCCCAGGTTTACTGCCTGTTTATATAGCCACAGCTTCTCCATTAGGACCAGGAGGGAGGAGGTTGTGCAAGGTTTTCCCCAAAGGATAGAAGTGTTTCTGTATTCTGATTGTCCTTGTCTGAGATTGTATAGTTTTGCTCTCAGGCCATGTGAAAAAGGATTCCAGGTTGCAGTACAACTTCGGCCTATGCAGAGCCCAGAGGATCAGGTTCAAGTTTCTATTGTTTCCCTGTCAATGGAGATGTGATATAATGCTCACATGGGAATGTCATTCTTCCCTGTGTAACTGAACCCTTCCAGACTCCCAGAGCACTGCTGTTGCAAGGTAACTCCACCACTAGAAATTCCCACTGGGGCTATATTAAATTTTTCAAACTTATTATTTCAAAGGTGGCATTTTGGCCTTTGCTGAATAGTACTGTTAATTTTGTTCCTCCTTATGAAAAACTTCTAAAGACTGTGAGGAATTAAGATGTGACCTATCCTAAAATTACTATATTGTTATGTTGCTCTATTTTTAGAAAATCTGATAGATCATCCCCCTGAACTAGAAGCTGAAGGTTAAATTTCTGTTTCAAACAACTAAGGACATGTCCTGGACAATTAGAGATAGGTGCTTGTTTGGGCTCCTTTTCTAAAGAGTTGCTGCTTGTGTACCTGCTCTGTTCTTGCTGCTTTTTTGGTGAGCAAATTAAAGCATGAATTTCCAAGCTCCTGAGGAGTCTGAGCTGTTGGGCTGCAGCGCCTGCTCAGGAGGAGACTGAGCAGCCAGGCAGTCGGGGGCTTGCTGCCTGCAAACCCAAAACACAGCTGTTAGGGCTAATTTTAGGGTTTCTCTACTCTTGACGCTTGCCCCATGTTCCAGCAAGATGTTTATAAGCCATAAGCATTCCTAAGCATGTCCCTGAATTACAGTGGGGATGTTAATGTGACCTTTCTCTAAAATTGTATTTATAGAGGCCTCTGAAATAATGAGAGACATTGGGACAGCCATCCAGTACCTGCACTCCATGAACATTGCACACAGAGACGTCAAGGTGAGGCCCAAGGTGTGTCGGCTGGAGAGTAGAATTTATGGCAGGAAAAAAAACTGGGCAGCAGTGATTTTAACAGAACTGGCAATGCAGTCAGATGGTCAAAGTGTCCTTGTTCCTCTGCCAGTGTGAGAAGGGATTTGCTCACTAGTTTGCAACTAGTCCAAGGTTGGAATATTCATGTGTGCTAATGCCTTCCAGTTGTGTACGGAATGCAGAAAAATCCCATGACAGTCAGATGCTTAGTTAAAGAGGTACTGCCCACTTGCAATCCATGGATTAGCAAGAAAATAGCACTCCGTCAAGTGAACCTATAATTTATAGATGCCTCTATGTACAGTCTTTGCCACTTATTAGTTGCTTTCGGCATCATACTTGTATTAAAAACAAACAAACAAATAAAAAAACCCACAAAAACACCCCAAACAGCAAAACCCCCTTCAGAAAAAGGAGAAACTTCTCGGAGAAATAATATCAATTTCATGCATTTAACCCATTTCAATAAGTGTGTGAATATTTGGGAAAATAGAGAGATCTCAGTTACTGCCAGCGTTTAATGAGGTAAAGGTTGAACCCCAATGTTTTTGTAGGGGTTTGACAGAGTTTGTAGGGCTGTATTTTGTGCTCATGCTCTGAAGTGCACAGCCTGAGCAAAGCCAAGCTCGCTGCACCCTGGCATTTCCAGTACAGGGACACAGCAAGGGATGGAATGTGCAGGAGAGTGGGGCTTGTAATGATAGACTGAGGCATCAGATCAATTCCACTCCTCTGAGCTGCTGGGTTTTCTACAGATGTTTGTGTGTTTAGCTGGAGGGAGAACTGACACAGCATGGTGTCACCAGGGGGTAAACTGGGAAACGAGTTGAACTAATTGGAGATAATGGAAATACCCTGTTGTCTCTGTTCTTGGGCACAGGAGCTTGTATTTCCCTCTGTGCCGCTCCTCTGTGCAGAGTATGGAGCAAAAGTGAGATTAACTCAGGTTTCAGGAGACAGAGGAGGGGAGAGCAGCAAAGATACAGTGTCTGTATCAGTTAATTTTGATCGAGCTGTGTCAGTTGCTCATGGGGACTTTGGCTGAGGATTTCCCTTGTCCTACCCCTAGGGTGCTTGAGGCACAGTGTGATGGCAGATCAGCTGCTGTCACCACACACATCGGTCCCAGGAACTGCAGGGAACTGGGAGAGGTTCAAGAAGCCAGACTGGATGCCCACTGGACAGGGTTTTGTGGTTTGCTCTCCCAAATAACCTTGCTAAGAAGGATGTTGATGTCTGAGGAAAAGTGCCTGCATGTTGGAGGGAACTTTCTGTGTTTGGTGGGGTTGTGATAGAAGTAAGAAGACCTAAATGGTGGTGGTGGGTTTGACCTGTCAGCTCATTAGAGACATCTCTTCATTGTACTGTTTATCCTCTCTTGGTGGCCTTCCAGCCTGAAAATCTGCTTTACACATCTAAAGACAAAGACACTGTGCTCAAACTCACAGACTTCGGCTTTGCCAAAGAAACCACTGTAAATGCACTGCAGACCCCCTGTTACACTCCTTATTATGTGGGTGAGTTATCCAAAGCACATTTCTTCTGTGTTTCAGTCAGTCCTTTCCTTACAGTGGGTGGGAAATCTTCTACTGTGGATGCAATGTGAAGTGATAGCCTCCAGAATTTAAACTGGGATCTAATCCAAACCTAAAGTCTGGTCCCAGTACAGTTCAATGCTCCTACTTCTGCCTTGGTGGCAGAGGAAAAAGCCTTCACAGGAGATACAAATGAGGATATACAAGGAGAGAGAGGGAATTCCTCCTATTTACACTTGAAGTAATCCTGATGTTTCCTCTGAATGATGCAATAAAAGCCAGAATTTGAATTGAGCTTCATTGTATTTGGGTGTTTCTGTGCAAAATTTCCCATAGCTTAAGTTAAAGCAATAAGAGAGAAGAGTATTGCCTCAGCTGTAAAACTTCTTTAAGCTGGCAAATTGAGGAATTAGTAATAAAGAACCAACATGACTTAATCACAGCAGAATTTTTTTTGTCCAAAGTTGAAGCACTGTGTAATGAATGCCACAGCAGACTGTCCTTCATGCACTCATTTTAGTCTTGAGTTAATAGTCATTCATCATATGGTTTGACTGGGGCAGTCCATGCTTGGAATTTCTTTGCTGGAAAAGGGACTTAATTTGTTTGAAAAATTACTTCTCTGATAAAAGTTTGTAGTTTTCTGTATTGAAAGAGACTTATTCACTGGGAGCAGATAATCACGTTAGCACTACTCTTTTTTTGATACATTCTTCTGTATTTTTGTGAGCTGGGTTTAGTGGTAAAACGTTAAGGAGTTTACACACGTATGTTTTTATGCCTTTATATTTGTGTATAAACAAGCTGACATTTCCCTTCTCAAAACCTTTTTATAAACCATCATGATTGCTCATATGTTTAAAGAATAATTTTCCTTAGAAAATCAAGCTCCCTGGCAGTTTACCTGCCCCAGGGGACAAAAAAAACATCCCCTCTAAATGTATCTGTGTCTAATTTTGTTACTTAGTGGAAAAAATATAATGCTCTGGAGGCCAAAGAAAAATACAGTGCCCTGTAGCTGCTGGAGCTAAACACACCTCCCAGGTATCATTCAAAATTTTATCACAGCTCCAGTAGGGCCCTTCTATTCTGATTGCTGGAACATATGCTCCTGCCTCTTTCAGTGCAGTGTCTCCCTGCACACATTTAGCTGTAGCTCCTTCTGCTTTTTGGTAATCTTAGTACTCCCTTGAGCAGAGAGACACCAAGGTGAGGAGTAGGGCATTTTTCCAGCTCTGTTCCTCCTTTTTAAAGCTAGTTTAGATGCCTTTAGGAACTTGTCAATTGAAAGTGCTAACCAGTTCCTGCAGTTAGTTGTGTTTTTTTAATGCCTCTGATACCTGTTGTTGAAGTGTGCTGCTACTTACAAGGTGGTGGAGATTAAGAGAAATACCTGGTACTCTGTTTACTTGTGGTTTTAATCTTCCCCAGCCCCAGAAGTCCTTGGTCCTGAGAAGTATGACAAATCATGTGACATGTGGTCATTGGGTGTCATCACATATATTCTGTAAGTATTTGGGAAGGAACTTGGTGAACAGAAAGAAAACACACCTTGTTAAATCTGCACACACAAGTAATTTTTCACTGGGATCATGCAGCCTGCAGTAGACTATAAGCTTGAATAAAACTTTTTAAGAGGTGAAAGGACTTTGCTAGTTATGAAAATTCTTTTGTCCACTCTTACAGCCTGTGTGGGTTCCCTCCATTCTACTCAAACACTGGTCAAGCCATTTCTCCAGGGATGAAGAGAAGAATTCGGATGGGGCAATATGGATTTCCCAATCCAGAGTGGGCTGAAGTATCAGAGGAAGGTAAAAATCCTCCCTGGTGCTGATGAGTGTGAGCATGGTGGTGTGCAGTGCTGCAGTGCTTACAAATAGACTATTTCTAAAAATCTGACTGAGCTTTTGTTTCCCTTTCTTCTACAATTTAAATCAATTTTTTGTAAGATGCTGCAGAGAATGACTGGGAACTCAGATACCAGCCAGCAACCTCTGTGCTACAAAAAGTAAATGACCACTGAAAACCTTCTTTCAAAATCCAGCTAGTGCTAGTGAATACTGATATTAAACCCTCTTGAAACTGAAGTCTCTAATCCCAAGAAAGGAGACAGCCTGGACAGCTCCAATGCAAGCTGAGCTGGAAGAAAGGCAAACTGTTTTAAGAGTTTATTCACTCTTTGCCCTCCTTGGTGATCCAGCCAGCAAGGATGGCAAGTTTTCATGCTAGCTTTTTGGGATGTGGGAATTTGTCAACCACCACTTAAATCAAGGTCAACAATTTATTTTGTATAAGTCATTGATCAAAAGCTGCTGGGGGCTCAAATCAGGGTCCTGAAAGTGGGTATTTTTGATTTCCTCTTATCTTGACAGTCTCATAAGCTGGAAGTCCCACCTGCCTGTCATATTAAAGAGAAAGGCCAGCAATATCAGGGTTTATCTGTTTTTCTTACAAACCCTTTCTATTGCTGTGATCCTGGTTTTGTCTGCTGTTTAGCTGTAACAAATTATCCTTTGATCCTGCTGTGCTCTGTGGCATCTTCACCCCTCATTGGATCCTGTGGCTGTGTGCAGCACAGCCTGCTGAACATTGTTGAGGGAGATGTTTAGTCATGGGTTTCTGGCTAAATATTTTCTCTGCTTTGAGTCTTGTTCATATTCCAGCAGTTAAAAGCAGGCTAGAAGAGCTCAGTGAGAGAACATGCACTTGGGCTGTGTGTAGGGTTTCTGTATGCTTGCGTGGATGGAGGCCCTTACCTTTCATCCTATTAAGATCATCTCATCTTGAGATGTGGGTGTTCTTTAGGCTGATGAGGCACCTTCAGCAGGTTGCTGCTTTTTTTTCCCTGTGCTGTGCTGTCCTTGTCTTTTTGCAGCCTCTCTCAACAAATTAAACTTGTACCTCTGGCAACTTCTTACTAGCGTTTAGTCATCTTGCATGTGATGTTCCTAAAAGAGCACTCTAATTTAGAAGTTCTTATAGGTTTCCTAAGGAAGTTTTGTGTAAATCCTTCTAAATAACTTCCTTTGGATACAGTGTTTCCAGTCTGTCCACCCACATTAATGAAACTCTTGTCTGGCCTCTCACCATCTCTTATCTCAGTTTTTAGTGCTCTTGCTTTGGCAAATCCCATGTTCACAGAAAGCTGCTGCAAAGCCAGTTTGTACAATCCATTTATTTGACTTTTTTGTCTTCTTAATGGCCTCTCAGTTGTCAAAGTTAATTGTCCCTTTTTTCCACAGCCTGTGCTAGTTGTTGTCCTGCATCATTTCTCAAAACATCAGCTTATGTGTTCATTCAGCCCATAATGCCCAGCTTGTTGCCATCTTTCAGGCAGGCAGCTTAGCAGCTCTCTGTTCCTGTGCTTCTCTCTTCCCCCAGCTATTGCTCTCAAAGCAGTTGATTTGGTGATGTAGAGAGCATAGCTGGAATTCCCAGTCTTTTCTTTCCTTCTTGCCTCTTGTTTTGGATGTTTTCCTGTTTTTCCCCTTTAAACACAGTAACCTGCCCCCTTACATGGCTTCTTAACATGGTCACAGCAACTGGGAGGTGTTTTCAGTTCTGCAAAATTGTGCTTCTTAATTCAGCAGGTCCTTGTGTTCCCAAGGCTATTTGGGAATGCAGACCTAGACTACACCATGCCCTGTTGTTTCTGTTTTTCAGCCAAACAACTCATTCGCCATTTACTGAAGACTGACCCAACAGAGAGGATGACAGTCTCTCAGTTTATGAATCACCCTTGGATTAATGTGAGTCTTAGATCCCTTTTTACGCCACAAATTGATTCTTACATGCAGAACTTGGGTGCACACAGCAAGAGAAGGGCTGTTATTGCTGCTGGTCCCTTAATTAACCTCCTGTGCCCTCCACAGAGGGTCACTTGACCATAGAACCACAATTCTTCTTGCTGTTAGCAGAGGACACACAAGGGGAGACACCCACAGTTGTGTCCTTGGAAGCAACAGCCGAAAATGTCTCTATATTCTGTGAGCAGGCAGTCTCTGTTGACTCTACAGTATATGCATGTGTTACTCTCTTTAAAAATATAAAAATAAACTCTGTGTGCTTACTTCATCTGTGCAGGATTTAAAGAGCTATTATTAGTGGTCTCAGGCACCATTGTGCATAGCTGAGTTAGGGTGAACATGCTCCTGTGCTCAGTGGGAATTCTCATCCTTGGCAGAGTTTGGAAATATATGGGGGAGGAGCAAGGGTCTCTTATTGCCATGTGAGAGATTGCCAGGTAGGGTGGCACACAGAGCTATTAATGGTCCCAGTTCAGGTTTCATACTATGAATTGGTTGAATTTACTTCTCCTTAAAAGTAATTTTTTTGGTAAAAAAGAAAAAAAATTACTTTATTAATACAATATGGACTATTTCAAATAAGAGACACAAATCCCAGAAGCTCAAAGACTGAGTTTCATGATACCATCTCTTCTCTATAGGTGTCCCTCAAAATAGTAGGTTATACTTCTCACATTTGTGTCTAAAAAAATACCAGTCTTGTTCTCACTACCCCAAGAATCATCAGCCAGGAATAGAATCATTTCTGCTGTAGAATTCCCTTTGTTCCCATAGTGCTGGTGTGTCAGTGCTGATCCTCAAAGGATGGGGCAGAAGCAGAGGTGTGGCTGATTGTCCCCATTCCTACAATGACTGCTGCAGCATCTGAAAGCCCTTGGAATCCAGTGAAATGAAGCTGTAGGATGTCCTGATGAAGTAGAAAGGTGTCATTCAGAGTTGAGAAACTGAGGTTGTAAAGACTCTGTAGAACAGACCCCAGACAATGTTTCTGAGTTTTTTTTAACCAAATAAAAATGTAATCACTGCTCAGAATAAATACCTCCTGCTTTGAGTATCTGAAGCCCCAAGAAGGTGTTTCAGAAGTCAGCAGGTGAGGAATTTCATGGAGTGAGTGCCTAATAGCTAAGGAAGCTGCCACCTACAGTGACACTTGTTACTTGGAATATGCACAGAGCCAATTAATGAGGAGGAGATTAGAGGAAAGGTCTGCAGACTCTGCTGCACCTGCTCCAACTGGAGCCCTGCTCCAATACCCTTCCTGGAAGAAAGCTGCAGGTTGGCTTTCCTTTCTGCTTTCTTTTCTGTTCACAGGGGGCAGAGGGAGGGAGAGGGAAAGACCAATACAGTGAATGTCTGTGTTCTCCCTTTTCCTAAATCCCAAAGTGGAAACATGTCTGGGGAGTTGCACAAGCAGTGGAGGAGGGTGCCTATGTATTTTTTGGTTTCTTTCCCCTCTTTTTTTTTTTTTTTTTTTTTTTTTTTTTGAGCTGGATGACAGAAGTGTTTTACTGTGAAGTAGGCAAAAACTGTCAATTTAGGTGGAGCACAGACTCCTTTAGTTCCTTGTCTATAAGATTTTTTTTTTTTTAACACGCAGCAGCTCACAGCAGAAAGGCACCTTCCACAGGGAAGCAGGGACACCACTGAAACCAGTCTGCTTGTTTTCCATTTCTCTTGTCCCAGCTGTATTTGATAAAACTGTACCCTGGCCAGCTGGGATCCTTGTCCTGAGGATGCAGGAGTCAGGATTTCTGCTTCACTTCTGTGACTGCTGCACTGCTGCTCTGACCCCAGGGGAACATAAGCACTGGTTCCAGTGTCGGGTTTGATTTACAGGGATCACCTTAGACTTTGCTGACATGCAGCTGAAGGATGCCACAGCAGCAAACAGGAAGTTTGGGTAGAAAGCATAAGGAAAATAGAGTATCCAAATGAAATTATTGTCTGGGTTATGGGCTGGCAAGAATTGCCATGATTCTTGCTGAGTTTAGTCAGGGAACTGTGCTTCATGCTTTAGAAATTGTCCCTTATTCTATGTAAAGTATCTCCTGATCTTTCATGGCAGGTGAGCAGAGATCTCAGTTTCATGTGGATGCACTGTCTTCTGAGCTGTGCCTTGCTCAGAAGAATTGTGTCATTTCCTCTTTGAAGCTCACTTAGTCTGATGAAGTGGTAATCTCAGTTAATGCATGCATGCAAGAAAATGTCTCCTACAACAAATCCTAGGAGATAAAGGTCAAATTAACTACTTTAAGATATTGACTAATGAATAGTGAAATGACAGTTAAAATCTAAAACATACATAAAAATTTATCCAGCGCTGGTTGGATAAATTGTTTGGACTGGAAAGGACTAGAGTGAAAGAAGCTCATCACTGATTTCTCTCCCTATTTTTGTTCTTTAAATGTTGTGTGGGGAATGTAGTCCTTTCTACACATGAGTTCATTTGTGGAGTGACTGGACACAGGAATAATGAGGGCCATTGGAGGACATTAGATCAAATTTTATGCCCTTCATACACAGAGAAGAGCAAGAAATCACTTCCCAAATGTTGTTTTTCAGAACTTCTTTTGGTATTTTTCTTTGTTCTCAGAGATCAATGTCAGTGCCACCAACTCCTCTTCACACTGCACGGGTCCTGCAAGAGGATAAAGACCACTGGGATGAAGTTAAAGTGAGTCAATCTAAATTCAGATTTCTTTAAGTCAAGTGTGATAGGAGATGAAATGTGCTGCCTTGGATACTGTGGCTATTTTGAATACAATCATGTCAAACAAGGGTGGCATAAACAGTCTTGGTTAGAACAGTAGTGTATACAATAACTGTTTAAAAAAAGAAGGAATGCTCTTTGAGCTTCATCAGCAGCCTTACAGCTGCACCAGATATCAACAAAGATGGTGTTTATGATCAAAGGCATGAATGATGCTCCTGCTGGGCGACTGCATGTACCCAGGGAGGAGAAGGACATTGCTGGGGCAGTTTAAACTTCACTACAGTGAAGAATGTGATGAAAACATAGGGGGACAGGTGGGAGGGCTGAGCTGCATTCTGGTTTTCTGCAGTGCTTTTGAATCGTGGAACAACACTGAATAACCTTAGTCTTTTCTTGTTATGACATTTGGTGGGGGGGAAGAGGAGAGAAAAAAAAAATCCTAATCTAAGCAGGTGCCTCACCTACTGTGTGTACCAATTGACTGCTGAATGCTTCCTGCAAAGTGAAACTGTAGGGCACACTGAAATTCTTAACTCTTTCCTGCTGGCCTTTAACAGGTTGGCATACTTTTGCAATTAATTCTGAGTTTTCTGCAGTTCAAATTTCTAGAATTTTGACAATTGCAACATTCCTGTAATGTATTTTATTGATTACTGATTTTATTAAAATCACTGATCTGTAGTCTCAGCTGTTGAGCTATGTAATGGTAAAACTTTTTAGGACCTAGGCAACATTTACATTCTGAGTCAGAGATCAAGCAGATATTTTCACTTAGCTGCCTTGTATTCCATATTTCTGAGAATTTCTTATGCTTGTGCTTCTGTGTAGGTCCCAGAGGTGTTCCCTCGAGCTACCAACATACCCATGATATTGAATTGTTTTTCCTTTCCTGAACCAAATGGTTAGACATTTATTAACTTAAACAGATTTTTCTTTACAACCTTATTAAAAAGTTTAAAATGTTCCTGTACTTAAGCATTAATTCAAACTAAGAAGGTGTGTGAATTTGAAGCACATACTTTTAAAGACCTTTGTGTGGAGGCACAGAGCCAGCCAGGGTAGTGCTGGGCACAGGGACAGGTGGAATTTAGGCCAGCAGAGCGTGGGCCGGTGTGCTCCCGTGTGAAACGCTGCGTGAGCAGCTCAGTTCGGGCTGGCTGAGCCCCTGGGGAAGGAACCTTTGCTCCGGGCACAGTGCCCTGAGGGCTCAGCTCTGGCTGGCCAGGGGGAGACAGAGGGCTCCTGTGTCCCTCCTCCCCGGCCTGTAGGGTGAGGTGGCCGTGGCTTCACTACATGGCTTGCTTGCTTTCAGGAGGAGATGACCAGTGCTCTGGCTACCATGAGGGTGGACTATGACCAGGTGAAAATCAAAGACTTGAAAACGTCCAACAACCGCCTCCTGAACAAGCGCCGCAAGAAGCAGAAGCAGGCGGGCGCCTCCTCTGCGGCCTCGGGCTGCAACAACCAGTGAGGGCAGAAGCCAAGAGGGACCTGTGGGTGGAGGGTAAAAGTTAAACAGAGCCATTTAAAATCGCGTGATCGCCTCAGTCCACACCACAAAGGCAATGAGACCGTGAAGATGCTGTCCTGCAAAGAGGGAACAGTGTGATAATGTTTTGATAACTTGAATCAGGGCTTTGCTTTTGAAGCTAATGGATCTGATATGATTCTGTTGCATATTGCAAGGGAAGATACAGTAATGCCAGAAATGTTACCAGAAAGGTTTTTGCTTTGGCTTTAGCTGTGTAGGACAAGAGGAGAGAACAGGAGGCAGTCTCAGCGCATAAATGCACTGAGGCTTTAACAGCCATCTACAAGAGTAACTTCTGCTGCTGTTTTAAACTGGGGAATAGGAAAGTGCCAAGTGTTCTGCTAAGAGTGTTTTAGTAGTTTAGTAGAATTGGTAATAGTCTATATTTCCAAACTTACCTCCTATAGTTACAGAATATCACCTAAACTGTAAACAGTTATTCTTGTTACAGGAAAAAAAGCATCCATACATTTCCATTTCCCTAAAGTCTTCTGTGTAGTCTCATGTGAAGATTTGAATTTGTCATGGATTCCCATTTGATAACCTGTAAATTTTCTGAGCTGTAGCCAGTATGTTGTATCTTTGCCACTGTCAGACCCCTCTCTTGTAATGTTTTCAATTTAACTGATACTTTATGTGAAGAGTTTCAGTCAGGATTTAAGTAATTGAAAGTATCCTGCAGAGAATATTGCTGTTCCCCTTGGACCCACAACCTCCAAGGCATGCAGCTGGACATGCAAGGGATTGATTTAGAAGAGAGACTTCTGAAATTCAGGGAAGAAGTGGCAAATGCATTTCTCTGAATGGACCCTGGTGTCTGCCAGCATCCTTTCTGGTAATTATCTCCAAATCCTGTGCCTAAGATGTGCTGATCACAGCAAATGTGGGGTGTTGGGTTGGTTTGTTTCCTGGAGCCAGGAGGGGGAAGGATGCTACTTTATTTATGGTGATTTGGTGGTGTTTCAGGATCCAAAGATTTTCATTGCTTAAGGGAGATTACTTTTAAGTACATCCACCCATTGTTTTTCCTGTTTTGATTCTCCTTATTTCATGGGAACCTGGCCTTGGTTTGCTGGTCTTATTTTGTGATCAAAATATTTTCTCTCACTGTATTTTGGGGTTTGGCTTTATTTTTAGTTTAGGTGAAGCAAATATTTGTGAAAGTGTTATCACAGTCTGGGATGAATATGATGTGCTTTCAGTGATGCAGGCAAATATACCTTTGAAGTAGGCACACAGTACTGGTGTGTTAATAGGCTTGCAAGAATGTAAAAAGGCAAAAAGAAAATCAGGGCTCCAGAGGGGATCTGAATTGTGAGGTCAGAGTGACACACAGCCAAGCGAAGCTCAAGGCTTTGGACCTCATCTGAGGAGCCCAGTTCCCATCTTCAGAGTGGTGAATGAGACCTCAATTCTCCTTGGTGAACTGGTCCTAGGGTTGTGTAACATGATTTATTAAAATCAATTTTTAACATTCCTTCCTCCTGTCATCCCTGTTTTTGTTGAGTTGTTGCAGAGTTTGCATTGCTTTGCAAGATACATTATGTTGAAGGTGACAGGGAAGGGGAGAAGGAAAGTTTCCATGATGTCCACATTCAAAGGCTGCCCAACTTTGATCATTTTATAAGATCACAAGGTTTTGGTTTTAAATATCAATCTCTGTAAAGTTGTGTTTTAAAATTATTTCATGTTTCAGGTATCTGTGATTATAGCATGTCCTGTATGTTTTTGTTTTGCCATATTACTCCAATGAATTATGCAAATATTATTCACTACCTGCAGATGAATACTGCAAATGAAGAGTTGTGATGTGTTCGGGATGCAACACTTGGAATTAGAGCCATATCCAAGTTTCTGTCCCTTTATCTAAACTTTTTTGAGGGAGGTATATACATTATTGCTGCCTTTCCATCTCTGTGCCCCACCAGGACAAGCAGTGTATAGTGCACTGTCCTGTCTGTCTCAAGGACAGAGCCACTGAAACTTGCAAACCAGCTTTTTTCCTGTGCCTTGGCCAAGGTTTGAGCAGGAGCTCTCAGTTCCCACCTGGTACCTCCTGGCCTGTCACTTCAGTCTGGAGCTCAAAGATGTGTCTGTTCCTGGGTAGTTTTCTGTAAAAATCCTGTAAAACACACGTGGGCCTGATTCCTTCCTGTAGGGGTCCAGTATTTACTGGCGATCGGGAGCTGGAACTGGGGCACCTGACACAGCACCTTCAGCTTTCTGTCCCTGTGTAGCAGGACAGTCCCATCTCATTAAACTCAGATTAACAGTTCTTGCCTTCTAACCTGCAGCAACAGCACCCAGGAATGCTGAAAAGCCCTGCAGAAACCAGAGGAGGGCCTCAAAATGGCAGACATGGAAGTGTATGCAAGTATTGGACAGAAGGGTTTGTGTTTATTGCACAGAGGGAACAGGGAGAATCCTTGGGAGCTGGGAGCCAGCTGCCCTGCAATGTTTGGAGCCTCAAACTGCTCCAGGCACTGCTGCCTTCTGCATCCCAGTGGAGCAGGACAGCTCATGTTTTACCTGGAGCTGGGAGGGGCTGCCAGGGACCAGGTTTGGGGTGCAGGCATTTCCCCAGCAGGGCCTGTGTGCTCCATGGAGATGTGGGGATGTATAGAGCACCCGATGGTCTCGGCTCTGCCTGGCCCTGCCACACCACCTGGCCCCTGCCCCTTGGCTCCAAGAGCTCCCCAAAATCAGCCTGCTTTCAGCTCCCCAAAACCAACCTGCCCTCAGCTCCCCAAATCAACCTGCCGTCAGCTCCTCAAATCTGAACCTGCCTTCATCTCCCCAAATCTGAACCTGCCATCAGCTCCCCAAATCTGAACCTGCCGTCAGCTCCCCAAATCTGAACCTGCCGTCAGCTCCCCAGATCTGAACCTGCCATCAGCTCCTCAAATCTCAGCCTTCCCTCAGCTCCCCAAAACCAGCCTGGAATCAGCTCCCCAAACCTGAATCAGCCATCAGCTCCCCAACCCTGCAGGATCTCAGGCCCTGCTCTGGGTGTGTGGCTCTGCAGAAGGTGTTATCCCTCTGGCTGCCAGCAAGGCTCTGGGGGACGACTCTCCTCCTCCCTGCATTCTCACACATTAAAAAGAGCTCTGGTGAGCTCGTGGTGGTGTTTGGGTCTTGCCTCTTCCCCCAGCCATGTCATATAATAGGCTTTTCAGAACCTGCTGCTCAGGATCCAAATTTATAGCCTGTTTTTAGAAAGGATAGGCTATTACAGAACTGATTATGCATTTGCATATTCATCAGCCATATAGAGGAGGTAAAGAGCTGGGAAGGGACAGAAGAAATGAATGGTCAATAGAGAAGGCTTCAAGGAGAACACATATTAAAAGGTCTATTTATTTTTTACAACAGAAGCTAAAAAAAGGACTGTGCACAATTCCCCACCCCCATCCCTTTTCACAGCGATTGCTCATGGGCCGCTGCCTCCCCTTGTGTTTCCCTGCACTGTGCTCCTCACACACGTGGTTCATGTGCTCTCACCAGTGCTCTTGCTCTCATCCACACACAAATGTGTACCCAGGCACGCAGGAAATTCCCTCCCTCACTTTCCCAGCTTTTGCACTACACGCCTTCTTACCTCCTTGACCACATGTGCCACATGGTGAACATGGGTTTGACATGGTACAATTAAAAACTCACATTAATGATAAATCTTGGCCTAATTCTGTGTTTTTCTATTTGTCAAAACCCAGCATGCAGTCCTGGGATTGCTTTTCTGTCTTAACACTTCACTGCCTTGAGTCTGGAAGCCCAATTACATAAGTGCTTCTGACTTGTCTGACATGAGGGATAATGAGAATGCTACATACTCAGTTTGATCTAATTTCCCTGTCCTCTTTTCAGTTCACACTTTATTTGGCCCATGTTTAGACAGAGGTGCTTTTGAGCAGAGGAAGGTTTAGTGAGGATGAGAGAGCCAAAGGTTTTAATTACTTGCAGGGAATCATGAGCACTTACACTGTTTTAAACCTGTGGGCCAGGTGGGGAGGAGGTGTTAATGTGTGCTCAACTGCTCTGAAGTGTTCTCCTGCTTAGCCCCAGGATGGAGCCAGTTCAGCTCACAAACCTCAGGGACAAAGAGAAGGAAGCAAGCAGGGAATGACTCCACATGCAGGGGAACTCTTTTTTTCTAAGATTAAATGTTTTGGGAGGTCTTTATTCTGGAAATATCAGGATTTTCTTTTTTTTTTTAGGTGCCAATATTTCCCTTCTTCACCCAAACGTTCTCAGTAGTGGAGCTGGCAAAGCTGGGAATGGACAGGGTTAATTCTCTTTTAGAGAACCTAAAAAGGATGAAGGCAATGAAGCAAACTTGCAAAGCAGAGAAAACACACTCAAAACAAAAAAATCTTGTTAAAAATTCTTGCAAGCTAACAGGCAAGTCCTCATCTCTGTACTGAAATGTACCTCACCTGTGGAAAATAGAGGTTAGAGCAAATCTAGGTAATAACGTTCGCTGAGGAAATGTTTCCCTGAAATCTTTGCACCAGGTAAAAAAATTATTTTCGATCATTAAGTCCAGCTTTGAAATAAGATTATTTATTTTCAGTTTGTGTGGTTAGAGGAATTTAATGGAGCAAAGGGAGCAGAAATGGGGGATGATATGTCATGTTGAAGAGTAAGATAAGAAATGTCTGCTGTTGTATTCTACTCCTACTTACTTTTTACCACAGGTGCTACCTCTGTACAGACATAGCAAGATAAATTCAACTCTTTATTAGTCTTTTTTAGCACTGGAGAAGGAGGATGTTGCTGCACTGTAGGGAAATGTGGAAGATAACCCTGTGACTGTAGATGAACATCTATTCTGGTAAATCTGTAAATGATGCCTAGCATTAAATTTATTTTTAAATTTCCTGCCTCGTGAATCTGCCAGATGCCAAAGTCTCACAGGTCTGCTTTAACTGCATGAAGGCACAGAGGCATCACTGTCAGTGGGTTTCCTCCTGCAATTTGGGACCACAAGAAGAAGCATTTGCTGAAATGTACTGCAGTTTCCAGGAGCCAGAAAAGGAAAAAGGTGTCTTTCAAGTAGCTGGAGATGATGGAGATGGCCAGGCTCCCTTTTATCAGGGGAGGGGTATCCTAAAGGTATCTTGGCCTTGAGTTCAGTTCCCAGAGCTGCTGGTAGCAAACATGCCTTTGCTGTGTGGGGCTGCAGCCCTGCTGAAGTCTCTGCTGCCTTGACACCATGCTGGGGCCTTTCCCACCGTGAGCCAGGGAAATGCTCTCACTGGGGCCATGGTTGCAAACCATGGACAATTCTTGGTCCTGGGGCTCCACTGAAGCTGAATAATGCCAAAAAGGAGGAGCTGCATTGTTTGCTGCCATGTTTGGCCTCTGAGTGTGTCTGTTGAATTTTCCTGCCTCCAAGGTCCATCCCAGTATTGCCAATGTAGCAGCTGTTTATTCATTTGTTAACAGGGAGCACAAATGCTTCTTTTGGGGACTGCATTTCTTTCTCTGAATTTCAAAGCTGGAATGAAACTCTTGAACAGCATGGTTATTTTGTCTAATGTGTTCTCCCCAAACTTCCAGGCTAATCCATTTGGGAAACATGGAAGATGTTCCCAAGAGACTCCTTATTGCCTAGCTACTGAAGCACCTGCTAAAACTGAGCTCTTTTAAAAGCTGAAAATTATTTAAATGTGGAAAAGAGTGGGTTGATCTGGAAAAAAACCTTCTCAAATGACTAAAATTAGAATGGAATGTGTTAGAAGAGAAATGGGGAAACTGGTGGGGGAGGAGGACTAAGGGTTTTTTTTTAAATAAAAATGCTACTGCTTGAGTAATGATCAAGGAAATTCTGGTTAGGATATTAGCTGCTGCTCCAACCCAGAGCAATTCCTGGATTCAGAAATAATTATGTTTTCCTAAAGATAGATCTACAGTACAGACTCCAAGGTTTTTTTCTGAGTTAGTCTAAAGCAAGGATCAGCTTGATGTTTATAAATGAAACTTTTGAGTAAATGCTGGTAGTGAACCAAATAAATACATTTTTTTTTTCTTATAGAGCACCTAATAACTGAATAAATAATCTTTGCAGATTAACTCCTGCTCTCCTAAAGTTGCCTGAGTAAGCTGCTTGCAGAAAGCTTGAAGGTGAAGTTACCTTTCATTTTTGCTTTTGGAATTTTGCATTTCTGTCTTGCACTTTAGCACTGCATATTTGACTTTTGTCTTGAATAAAATTCTAGTAAGTTGTCCCAATGCTACCATTCCATGATGCAAGTTTTTTTTTCTCTTTTCTTAGCTCAGTTGCAGTTGTACCACCACTTCTTTTATATCTGAGCTCAGTGTGGTGTAAAGAATTGGAAGAGTTTCTAGGAATCCCATTACCTGGCAGGAAGCAAAAAACTTCATTGTCTGTAAAATGGTAAGGAGGAAAGTTCTAAGTAATGGCTAATTGTAGGAAAAATCACCCTCTGAGGAAAAGAGAAGGTCTCTACAAAGAAATGCACCTAACTAAAAAGAGTAAAATGAGGTGGTCTGGTTATCATCCTTTTAAATCCTCTGATTTTCTTCTGCTCCTTGATTTCAGTAGTCTGGTGTATTTTATACTGCCTGGAAGTCATGAGTACTTCCTTTAGAGAGACCTGACGACAGTATTTCTGTTTCTTCCCTAAAAAAAAAAAAAGTCCTACAGAAGTTTTATGCTGTAGGATATTTTAAATCTGAGGAGTAGGAAGGAATTGCATTTCCTGATTTAAAGTGACTCAGCTCGGTCTGCCTCCTTCTTTCATAATAGATTCTCTGCATCCAGCTCAAACCTTGGCTGGCACTCAGGAGAGCTATCAGATGTTTTTTCTAATGATTTGTCATTCCTGCACAAAGTCAGTTTCTAAGCTGTTCCTTGAGGATCCTGGAACAGCCATCTAGCAAGCAGTGATTAGCTCAGAAGGTGCACGCCTGTGTCACAAGGCATGTGCTGCTGTTCCTTGGAGCTTCCCTCAGCTCCCGTTGGACAGTGACGTGCCTGGCCAACAGCAGCTCAGCCATCATCAGTCATCACCTTATTAATATTGTTTGTTTTATGGTATCTGCAGCCACACACACATCAAACCTTATTTCCATAACCACAATCCCACATGAAGTGTTACTTTTATTTTTGTGCAAAATCTTCATGGTGGTCATGTTCTGTACTAAGTAAATTAATTTCAAAGCATTTTCTTTTAAGCCTGATACTTTTTTTTTTTTTTTTTTTTGGTAGGATTTTCCTGAAATTTTGTATTTTCCTTTGGAACAGATATTGTTCCCACCACCAGAAATTTACTTCCAGTGAGAATTTGAAAGGAAACTTCATATTTATTTAAAAGAGAGTTGATATTTGTATGCCAAGTATGGATGCATATGAAGTCTTATGGTGGAAGAATTTAATTAGTACTATCCAGGCAACGGAAGACCTTGAGCTTGCTTGATTAGAATTAACTGCTGTGTACATGAAAGGAGAAATTTAATTCAAATTTCTATTAATCAGAAATACTATCCTGCCTAAATGGTTAAAAAAACCCCGTGCTAATTTTCTGTTTGGATGATGATGATGTCCATGTCAAAAGTGATTTTTGTGTTGCTTTGATCTTTGAAGATCTATATCCTAAAGTAATGTACAAACAGAAGTATTTCAAGTTTTGTGACCCGAATGCTTTCAATTCAGAATAATAAATATATATTTATGGACATAGAAGCAGGTACTCTGGCACAAAGCCTCCAAAAATGTTGTTGTCAAGTTCCCTTTTGCCCTTTCCCACAGCATCGCACAGGTAGGGTTCTTTCTGCCAGTGAATGTTGTGTGGTTCCATTTCTCAGTTTTCTCTTTCCCCTCTGCCATGGGCCATCACTTTGTCCAAGGAAGAGGAGGAGAGCAGCAGAGGGAAGAGCCCTGGCTGGAATTTCCTGTGTTGTTCTGCATATGCAGGTGAGGCCTGGCAGGATGGGATGTTGTGGGTCTGTAAATATTGCTCAGTATCTGCACCTCAGCTCTGCAGGAAACTTCAGTGTTGTGGGAAGCTGCTTGGCAGATCATGACCACTTCTATGTCATATTTGGGGTTTCTTCTGGTTTTTTCTACAACAATTGGATTATAAGAAAATTATGCTCTGTCAAAATAGTCTTACATTAGGGAAAGGCTGTTTGATGTGCTGAATGCCAGCTTTGTGTTGGTTTGTGTGTCACAAGCCATCAAGAAACGTGATGAAATAGTGATTCAATCTAAAATGCTGCCAGCCACAAGGATGCCAGCATCCTGTCTCAGATAGGTTTGGAGGCTCTCTGTCCATCTTTGTAAGTCTTGAGAAGTCCAGGTGACACAACTCAATGTGCTGTAACAATACCACAAACCAGGGATATATTTTAGGCAGATTCCTCTGTTTGTGTACAATTGGGTCAAAAACCTCACATGCAACCAATTGTCACAAAAATGGAAATACACCACTCACATGAGGAGTCATGTACAAGCTGCTGTGCTGGTACGTAATGGGAGCAGGAAAAGAAGTCATCAAATGTTGAATTTCATGTTCTGTTGGACTGTGTGTTTAGCTGAGGGGTTGAACAGCACCTCCTTGATATAAAAATTAATGGATTCTCTTTGAAAGTGGATCAGAGCAGGGTATGTTCAACTGTGCATCAAAGTACAGAAATATAAACGTTAAACTAAATTCCAAAATCTCAAGCACATGTAGCAACAAAGGGGAAAGAATATGTAAAGTGCACAAGCTTAGCTTTATGCCTTATTTTGAAAATAATTCATAGTAATCTGCATGTTACTTAGGGTGCCACCTCTGGGTCAAATATTTGTTTTATGGAGGTACCATTCCTATCCTTGAAAGTTCAAAGGGACTTACTAAACACCTTACGTGTTAGAAATTATGGTCCTAAGGTTTAGCTCTGTCTGTGCTTTTGAGGGAGGCTCATTGATTCTGTGAATCCCAAATGAGCTGGGATGGAGTGTGAGCTGCACTGAGCACCAGTTCATCTGTACCTGCAGCTGCAGGACTGCAAGGGACAGTCAAACCCAGGCTTCCATGATGGCAGATAGACCTTGAATTACTGTAACTGGGAGGGCAAAACTGAGACTACACTAATTTGTTTCTCATTTAGTCCTTGATCTTCTGTCTTTATTCATGTCGCTGGAGATAGGATGGCTGTGACAGCTCTGGAGGGGGAGCAGGACATTTCAGGTGGCTGCCAGCCATATCCATGATAGATGGAGAGCCCTGGCCATGTGCACAGAGCCAACCCCAGGACTCAGAGCATGGGCTAAGTTCCAGCCTGGTTCACATGAGATCTGACCTTGTGCTGCTGCAGGCAGGTCCCTGTGTCTGGCATCACAGATGTTTGTGTTTCTCACACTGTTTTAATTTTTTTTTTTTTTTAATAGGAAAGGTAAAAGATTCCTGTGCTCTTCTTTTTGACTTGCATGTATGTTCCTTTCCACTGTTTCTGTTATTAAGGTCCCTTCCAAGCTAGACTGTTGTGTGCTCTATGATTTACAGTCATTGCACTCACTGTGTGAGAGTTATAAGGAGCATGCAGAGATCATCCTCTGATCCTGCAGTGCAGTCACTGGCTGAGCCAGGCACCAGCCACGGACTAAGAGGAGATAATGTCCCTTTGAATGTCCCCAGTCAGGATGATTTTGTTTTTCAGCTGTTCATTCATTAGCAGAGAAGTAAACAGTGCAGCAGAATGTTGTGAAGCAGGGTATTTATTCACTTGTTTTCTGGCCTTCTCTCCAGATTAATGAAATGACTCATGGACAGTAACAACATGCTTGGAGGGGAAAAAAAGAAAAAGAGAATAGAAATATCTGGAGGTGGGACGTATAAGGCCAAATCCTTCTGTCAGGACACCCACAACTCACCTTACATATGTGATCTGATTCTCTTTGTTAAATGTAGAGAATTAATCACAGCCAAAACTCCAGGGCAAAAGAATGAAATGAGCATCTAAAATGTGCAGAGTGGTTTAGATCTGTGTGGAGGAACAGGCTGGTGGAATGTGAGGCTCTGAAATTGCTTGTAAATGTTTCTGTGCAACTTGGCATTTTCCCATACCCTGTTCCCCTCTGCCCAAGAGCAGGGACAGTGTGTGTGATGTCCCACAGAGGTCCTCACACAGGTGAGCAACACAATACAGCACAAGAGAGCCACTGTGGCTCTGCCTTTGTGGTGCCACTCACTCCCTCTCTGCTTCTGAAGTCCCACCCCATGGTGATGCTCAAACTTGCACCAGTCTCACAAAATGGTGAAAGGAGAATAGTGAGACTGCTCTGATTTCAAATATACTCAAGCATTCACTGTCCTTGGAGAATCTGGAGCTGAAAGACTTGGAAAGGCTACATGGATTTGGGGCAGAGAAAGAAACCAAACACAGAACAAGGTATCACAGATGCACTTGGAACACCCAACCATCTCAGTCCTCTCCACTAAAGCTTCCCAAAGAACACTCAGACCCATCTTTGTGAAGGCGATATATTTGCTTCTCAATTATTTACAAATCTAAAATTTTCCATATTAAAAGCTGCATGAGCAATGAAGCACAGGTATCTTTTACTTTAACAACACAATTTTATTTTTTTTTGCAAGGTTCAACAAACTGAAAGCAGGACAAGAGAGGAATAATAATTGTGGAATCCTGAGAAGAAATAATTTATAGCAGATACCACCAGGCAAATCTGATATTGGAAAAAATAAACTGAGATGCACCTATGTGATACTTTCAAATACAGAAAATGCTGCTCAGCATTCATATTAGAAATTGTTATCAATTCAGAATCCTTGTCATCTCAGGGAAATTTGTGAAATGCTGTCCTAAAGACCTCTTTGGTTCTGACTTTTTCTCCATGGGAGTACTGATCACATGGAAACCTAAAGCCCTCAGCCAGCTCCTACTCTGAAAAAATGCTTAATTTATGAATTCTCAAAAAATCGGTTTATAGAGGAGACCTTCTGCTATTTATTGTTTATTTCACACTGTTTATTGGTAGTTTCTATGTTGTTTCATTTTGAGAGGAGACAGTATATTTAGGGTAGAGATTTAAGCCACGCAAGGTGAAAAACAGGGATGAAGCTGGAGAAGGAAGAGGAACTTGTCAAAGCCTGTAGAGAGGAAGTGAGGATAATTAATCAGACAAATGGAGACAGAGCAGGTGTGCAGAGGGAATAGTCTGATGGAATAAAAAATGAATGTCAGAAGAGGTGAGTCTCTATTTT